CAGGCACACGGTCTCCACAGGCCGCTGGGATGCTATGTTTGGGTGGGAAAATGTTACTAGAATAGACGTATACTTGTTCAAGCAGCCGCGTGATGCGAGCTGGTGGCATTTCTGCCGTTGCTCGGAGGAAAAATTCAAAGCATGCCTCTGCCCATTATTTACGCCTTCTAAAAATACCCCACATGATGAGTGCATGCCCTAACGATGCCCGAGGAACGGGATTCACAGAAAAAAACAAAAAAAAAACCAAAACCCAACAATGTGAGAAGCTGTTGGGAGGCAGGAAAAGAGAAATTCCCCTCACGCACATGACAGGAGGTGACACTTCTGGCAGGTCACGCTGCTCCTCGTCCTGTTTCCAGGCTGTCTCCCAACACAGCTGCCGGCCTCACGCTGTACTTAGCCATTGTGGTATGAACACACAGCAGCGTAATTTACAGCGAGGAAGCCGAGGTTTTAAGAGCGTGATGCAAGTCTCCGAAGTGCATGTGCGCTCCCAGCCCATTTTATTCAGAGCGCTGGTCCAGCCTTGCAGGTGCTGGTCCCACGGCCCCTGCCATGCCACACCACTCTGACAGATTTTAAAAGGCGGCGGTACCTGTAATTACAGTTCACATAACAGACAAACCCTGCAGATGCAAATGGAGCATGGTGGAGACACCTTCGCTGTCGGAAAGGTTTTGGGTTGTTCTCTTTTCTAGCTATCCACCGTATTTAGCTAGTCAGTTAAGTCTGGGGCAGTTCCGGGTGTAAAAAACTACAAATTACAGAGGGTTAGTGAACCAAAAAATGAAAGTAACAGCACAGCTTGTATTCTTCCAGGGCTAAGCATCAGCAGAAAAGTTTTACGGGACTGGATTTCTGAATCTTGGTTCTACCTAAATTTCATATAGATATGTAAAGTCCTTAAGTCATGTTTCCTTTCATGAAAAAAATTCCCTAATCATTGAAAAACTTGTCTAAAAGAAGTTTATTCTCTTCAGTTCAATTAATATCTTCCTTTAAACCAACAGTGTGCATTCTCAAACTTATCAAAGCGTTCACTCTTGAGTACTTGTTACACACCCAGCTAGCATTTATTTTGCATGGGCTTTGGACTGTTTGGGACTCCAACAGCGTTCCTTCTTGCAGGCTGGAGGAAGGGGTCTATGTGCACGCAGTAGGTATAGCGCATTACTATTAATACGTCTTTGGAATATCTATTATGCAAAGCTGGTAAGTCTACTTATATAAATTACAGTTTCTGAATTAGGAAATGAGAGGAATGTAACTTTTCCTTATCAGGTGCCATGGATTATCTAAACCCCAAATTATTAAAAAAAAAAAAAATTGTGCAAAGTCCACGTGCTTTGGACTGCAAGCCTCTTATTTTGGCTTAGAAAAGCTCCAAACAATGAATAACTGAATAAGTAGATAAAAGAATTTGCTCTGGAGTAGTTTACAAATGATACTAGATCATCTACTTTGTCTTAATTTTTAAGATGTCTTAAAGGTCTTCACACAACAAGGACTACAACTAAGCAGCCAACATGAAACAGGTCTCTAAAATCAGAGTCATGGAACAGTTAGAGTTGGAAGGGATCTTAAAGATCATCTAGTTCAGGAATATTTTTAATATGATCATATTTTGTTCATTGAATTGAATGGCACAACAGTAGTAGCATGCGAGCCACACACTTTCCAAGGTCAACAGCATTTACAAATGAGTAGTGGGAGAGCTTTGAGCCCTTGGTGCCAAAAACAAGCCAGCAGCTAGGCATTCTGCTAGCTGCCACAGGTTAATCATTATATACACCGTATAACACCAGCTTACTTATACGACTGCCAAACTTAGTAAGACATAAAAGTCAGCACTCCGATACAGTGAAATAACATTTCCCAAAGAAGCCACCAAAGAGTTAGCAGATAGGCTGGCTATTTTTATATGTTTGATTTACCTATACAGGGATGAACAACTTTGTTTCTAGACAAATTTCTTAAAATTTCTTTATACTTGACTCAGAGTTTAGCTAATTAAAATTTAGCAATTTACCTTTCTTTCAGATCCATTGGAATTCGGCAAGAAATTTCATTTATTGAGGCATGAAAATCCCATATGGAGCCACACAGAAGGGAAAGCTTATTAAACTATGCAGCAATTAGAACACACACAGAACACCTAAACTTACCTCTAACATTTTAATAGGTTCCAGTTCTGAAAAAAGAGATTGGTGTTTAAGTACTTTTGCATATTACTCAAAATGCTAAATTATTTTTTATATTAATCATTTGAGAGGACTTGAAACTCATCTATGGGATGGAAAGTCAAAGAAAATTCAATGATTATTTCATAGCATCTACATCTTCCTGCACGAATGGAGTATTACAGGGAAAACAAAGAAAGGAACAATATAAAACTTATGATACAGGCCTAAAGACACTACATAATTATAAATATATTCCAGATGAGAATACAAAAAAAATTACAAGCTCCTGTACAATACATTCAACAAGTTTAAGATCAACTCACAGCATTTACAGGAAATATATTTAACTAGGGGAAGACAAAAGGGCTGGCACCTGCATCACCAATGATTACACTAGTAAGCCATGTGAACTTAAATATTCAACTTATTAACAAGGTCCAGGTGAAAGGAAGGTCATTACAAAGAAAAATGGATATTTACAGGTCTAGTGAAAACTATACATGTTAAAAATCAGCAGGGATTTGGCAAATGAAAGTTCATACATAATTAAACATAAATACCAAAGGCAAAATTAAATTGTAAAACAAACAAGAAAAAACAAAAAGCCATCTTCTAGACAGTTATGGAAATGTAAAGCAAATGAGAGAACCACGGAGCCAAGATATATGAAGGAAACAACCTGTGGAGCTGTTGAGGAATCCCTTTGCCGACTAACTCTGGCAACATTTTCTCTTCACAGTCCTAAGTTTAAAATCAAAGGGGATACCAAACTATCTATAAAAGGGTCCTGAAGCTGGCTAATAAGGAAGAATCATCAACCCTTTGGCAGGAGCTGTTCTTTATCCCTGAAGGATCACCTGAGCATACAACAGAAAGTCAACAAATATTTTTGTTACAGTGAGTATCATAGTAGAATACAGGAGCTCACCTAATTAAGAAAATAAATAAAAAACCTAATTCGATGAGGAGGTCCATATTGTGAAAAACAATCTGGGGGGATTTTTTTGTTGTTTGTTTGTTTCACACTAGTCCAGTCTCCATTATAGCAGTCTTATATTTTAAGCAGGATGCCCTACTTTCGTATAAATGATACAGAAGTTTCTGTATCATGCCAGACTGTCATATCATTATTACAAGCTAAGATAAGCAACTATGCAGAACTTCTTAGAAGCCACCGAACACTTCATACTTGGTCAAAATTGGAGAATTAAAGTTACCGCAGCAAGTTATTCACTTATTAACCTCAGCAGCACTGAGAAATAGCCACTGAAATATCAGCAGCTAAATCAACAGTTAAATAATTACTTCAACTCAGTAGTCTTGAAAATACAAAACTTCAAACTTTCTGACCACTGCAAATGCTGCACCTCAATTCAAACCCACAGTTCTTACAAGGTATAATTATACTGTACTTGAAATTAAGGTGTCATTTTTGTTTAAACAGAACCACAAAGTCTGTTACTCAGCATGATCCTTGGCACTTCTATTCATGTTCATATATTGCATATTTACTGTCATCAACACTGTCAAAATTAGTTAAGTGTAATAACCTTCAACAGTGACAGTCAGTACATCTACTAGTTCTGGAGAAAGGATAAGTGACTTATCATTCCTTTACAGCAGGAGTGAGGAAAAAACAAAATGCCTATTCAGCAGATATTGGCAGACATCAGCTGCGTAAGTTCCTTATGTTTATGTTTTGATATATATGGAGGCTGGCTTAAGTTCTTATTCAGAAAACGCTACTAATCTCTTACTCCTCATTTTTACCAGGAATATTTTGCTGCAAGAATGCAACAGAACTGGAAAGTCTTTTTTTCACCCTTCTCTGTCCAAGCTGAAAGAATGGGGTTATTTTACACTCCATACTGATAGTGTTGTAAAACAGTAATGGTAAAGATAACAAAAGGAGCTACAGAAACAATAAACTGAAAACAGGAGTCCTGAGCAGCTGTCACACTACGAGTCAGTTCATGTTTGGCAGCACTGCTGTAACAGGCTTTTCTGGATTCTGCAATGCAACATTGCATTAATGAGCTGCACAGGGTACTTTCAGATAAACCTCATCAGCAACAGAACGTACTTTAAACTCAGAACCTACGAGGACTCTGTAAAACTACTAGTGAAGAACTCTTTTTCCTTCTATTTGATACACAACTTACAAAACCAAATATAAAGCTTTAAGATGATAAAGCAGAACTATGCAGATGTATACAGTAAACAGACACACACCACCACCCCCGCCCCGTACCTCACTGCAGCTAGCGCTGTACAGTGAGACTACAGGAGCTGGAAATGAAGAAAAGCAACACCTGCCTGGTCTGCAAGTTTCACCAGTTACTCTGGTTTCCTCTTTGAAACTTGGACTTTGCCATCCATTTCGTGGGTGTGGAGCTTAATTGGCAAGCAGCATTTCTTGGCTACAAGAGTCTAGCATGCAAACTCACGCATGCAATCCAAGCCCTTGTAATTATTTTATCATCCGCTGACTAGGGAGCCAGTTGCCTGTGTGTGCTGACAAAACCAAGTGCCAATCCATTCTCAGCTGAATTCTTTTGCCTGATTCTCCCAGCCCATCCAGCTGCTGGAGGAACAGCTGCCTGTTGTTCAGAACAGCTTGCCGCCTACAGTGGGCAGGTCATCAATGGCTTGCTTAATATTCTCAATGGTCCAAAACTTACACATCTAACAGGGAAAACAGATAGTAGTTTCCTGTGACATTTCATTTTTCAGTTGCAATCAAATGAACAGAAGAATTAGTAAGGAAGGTGAGTTAACTTTCACATGGAATACATGGCAAAATCAGAAACATTTGTTGTTTTTATAAGGTGATTTAAAATGAACCCCGACCATTCACTCGTCCATCTTTTTAAAAGGCCTCTTACAATCAGTTGGTCTTAGAATATCAGGTTTTCCTTCAGCTCTCCCCCAGTTTTGGTAAAGTATATCTGTCTGATTTTAAACCTAGTTCTACAAAAGCTCAAAAGGAGCTTGGAAGACTGCTAAGCCTAAGCAGCAGGTTCCCCACGTTTACAAGCACACAGCTGCTTGTTGCAAAGCTCTCGGGCTTCTTGCTCTCAATTTCACCAGCTCCAAATGTCTTGTCAAAGACCCGGATGCTCTGTTGCAGGTGCCAGTTTGAAGCCATACCCTAACAGTTCACTGAAGACTTCCATACTCTGCTTTCAGGGTTTTGCAGAGTTTCAGGAAACACAATCATTTTAGATTGACAACACTACCACGAAATAGCCCGGTTAAAAGGTGGACTATATTGAGCGCACTGGTAACACCATGTGGCATCCTGCTGGGCTCTCAAACAGAAAGGGCTTTAAGGTGTTTGACATTTGCCTTCCTCCAGCACCAATGCCTGTCCTCACTTAAGAGAAGCAGGCTCCAACGAGATGCTACTTCTGCAGCAAGTCTGGCATAGACATCTTTAAATACCAAGAGTAACCAGAAAGACTGGGTTTGAAACTAATTACTATGGGAATGGCAAAAAGGGTCTCAGATTCCCGTGTGATTTTAAATTACCTTTAGAATGTATAATTCACATGACTCTAGATTATTTATCCAAGTGATAAACATGATGCTTGTTGGTTGTAGTACATTTGAATTGTTAATAAATTCAAGCAAGCACTTCCAGAATTTCAGTCATCTTGCAAGTTACCCACAACAGCAATCAGAAAAACTGTCAGCAATCTTGGATTTCCCATTTACCTCACAGGGTAAAACCTTGGTTACCATTATCATGGTTTGCCACTCCAGCAGCTGTGCACCGGAATAGAGGAACGACGTGTGACAAGAACAGGTCTTCAAAATCAGTATGCTTATATTTATTTTCCTGTGCCTTTGAAAGATAGGGTGTTTGGTTGAACATCAGTTCAAGAGGGTAGTCTCAGCAGTCATGCTCCCAGGTAGCAGATTTCCAGCAAGCCAACCAGAACACCGCAGACACTTCGCATCCTACTCCACACTTAACATACAAGAAGCATGGACTTCTTGCCCTAGCAAGGACAGTACATGCATTTGCATGTTGAACGTTCAAGAGCAGTACAGGAAAAGGGGTGGGGAAGCTTTTAACACAGATGAGCTTCCCAGTCATGTTCATCTGACAGACACAATTACATGAGCACAACTGAAAAGGCAGCATCATGAAGAGCAGGAAGAAGTGCCAAGACAGCAGAGCAGCTGTTGAAACTAGTACTCCTCCAACAGAAACGCTTGCCAAACTACGGCATGGCACCTCTGCCTTGCGTTCTCAAGTACACGTTGCTGCTTATCCATCCCATGATCTTTTCAGGAATGTTTGTTGGTTTGGTTTTTTTTCTCATGAGAAACCCTAGAAGAACTGGAAAAGCCTTAATGCTGAGTGCTACATAGATTAATACAATACCCCAATAAGTAGATTTAATTTTGCTATGATCCAAGGGAATTAACTATATAAAACCTCTTATCATGGCACAAAACTTTACTAAAAGCCAGATGAAGGTTCTCTGAGGGTATATTACAGTTTCAGAAGGAAGTTAAAGTCTCAGCATATCACCATCCAGACCAGCTTGGTGATCCAACTGCAGACTAGGTCTGTGGAAAAAGTGGGCAGCGCTCAGACAGACAAACGAGCTGACATTACACACCAAAGCATCACATGACTCCAGGATTAACACAACCAAAGGTGGGAAAAAGCAGTTAGGGATGTGAGGCTAATCACTTTTTTGACCAAATGATGTTACTTCTGTGTCAGCTAGAAGCTGACTGTAAAGTAGTACCCTAAATTACATACACAGTAATCTGTAACAGCTGGAGACAGGGGTGAAGATTGGTGTAACCAAGTTCTCCCAGACCGACACGTACAGAAGCCCATAAATGAGATGTGTCAGGCACAAGCATTCTGCTGGATGAAGGCATCCACAGTACACACCATTCTTTGATCATTAACCATATACTAGAAAAACACAAGTTTCCTTGCCTGTTGCAAGTAAACTGTTTCATTCCATTATAGAAGATTGTACACTTTATACTTGGTTTTTAAACAGAAAGTACTTCAGCTCTCCCTTGAGCAGCAAGAAGCAGTTCCTATTTGTCAGTCTCTAACAATCCCTCCTTCTAGGGAGGTCGCTTTAGAACAGAGCAGTTCCAACACCAAAGTTCAGTGCATACCAATTCTAATAACCAAAAATCAAACTGCTAAATCATCTTGTATGTTCAGACCCTGTTTAAATGCAAATCAGGTACCATGTTGTCCCAGTTGCAGGTGACCACACTGTAAGAAAGCAGCTGGTTTATATTTTGTCAAGGCACCAGCTGAACTAGACACAGAGTAGAAAGCAGGTAGAACAAAGAACAGTAATGCAAGGTTAGGCAAACAAAAATATGACACACCTACAATGTCTACTAACGGCACTCACATGTGTCTCCAGAATAAATATATTTCACATTTATTGACACAAAGGTAAAATTCCATTCCAGATCACCCGCATGCCCTGTTTTCACATTTGGCATCAACAGTATAAATATCAAATGCTCTGACTTGGACATACTTCAGACTGAATACACAGCCTTATTTTAAGAAGACTGACTGAGTTTGGTACTTCCTTATTCAATGCCATGACATTATCCACTATGACACTGAATTCTGGAAATCATTTCATTGTGCTTAATTCCATGAATGTGGAGGAAATCTTTGGTACCTACCTTCCACTTTCTGAGCATTATTCTAAATAAATTCCAGTTTTATAAGCCTTCCCTGCTACTTGCAAAGCCACACTGTGAAAGAGAGAACATGCATCTCCTTTTGTGAATCCGAGGAGCATTTGAAAGGTGATACCATAATATTGACCATCTTTTTTACAGACATTATTAGATACAACAAACTCATGAAGCTCACATATAATAAAGACCCATGTTTAATAGTTTCTGTGCATAAATACAAATTTTTTTGCTTATTTTCAAGAGCAGAAATATTTGCTTCAAAGAATACAGTGATGAAAGACATGTGAAGGACCAACTATTCTATAACACATTTTAATAAATTCAGTTTCTCTCAAGTATTTATACAAAACCAGCTCTTCTTATAACACTCAGCTAACACAGTTTATGGTGCAAGTCCGACATCTACGACTGAGTGCAACAATCCAGTTGTTACTGCAGCAGCTCTGACCAGGTGAGCCACAAAACAGACCGTCAAGCTGACACATCCCTCCAGTTCACCTCTTTGCTCACTAAAGCTCATCGGCTGATGCAAAATGAAACATGATGAACCTGAAGCAAACTTCAACCTTATTTTGAGCTATTACTCAAATCCACAGGAGACAAGTATGACTAAGTGTTATTAATACATATAAATAAGTAAAAAGAGCGAGTACCTTGGATTAATTTTTATAAAGTGCTCCTTAGTTACTAGAGGCACACCATAACACCAAAGGCTCATTTCTAAGACAGAAGAATCGGCATAATGCCCACCACATGCACACAAATTCTGAGCAAATCCTGAATTCCCACTAACACCCAGTAAAATGGAATTTGTCACTAATTTAGGTAATTATGCTTTTGTACACTATCAAAATTTGTAATTTTTGTAAACAAAAAAAAAACACCAAAGAAGGTAAATTGCTTCTCATTTCTTTGCTAACAAAAACATACCACTACTTAACATTTTACAAATATATCCCTGATTCAAGTAATTTAACAGAGAACACCTACATTTGTGAAATCTATTGCACAGCTGAATAAGCCTATCTCATCTTTCCTAAGTCAATTCACATCTGTCTTAGTTATAATTACTGTATTAAATTCAGAGACAGCTGATGAACATTTAAATTACCTATAAAAATTTATGAGGATCACACATTATTCATGCTTGCAAAATAAGGGCATAAATTTATTCTTGAAATCATAGTAATTTAGTGTCATTCAAAGATGCTGTACCAAATACAGTATTATAATTTCTCCCAGGTTCTACAGAACTTGAAGCATGCTGCTATAAACTCAAATTAGCCAAGAACATCTGTATTAATATCCAGGATGTCTCCCCTGTTCATTTTGAAGACAAATTTTGACCAGACTCTAAAAGTGTTAGGAATCTGCTAGATAAGGGAAAATGTCTGACATCTTTTAAGTCTTCTTTGATCAGGTCTAATCTAGTTTTTCCATCTCTGTCTTTCCATCCCATTTTTCCATTACTAACTATTTCCACCTCCACACATACCCCTTTTTTCGGTTCTTTTTTTCCCTTTTTTTTTTTTTTTTTTTTTTTTAACATTAGCAGTCAGTTCATAACCAAAGCAAGCAGTAAGTAATCATCACCAGGCCTCTGGTCGGTGGACTAATTTGCTGAAAGGAAAGTCTCTTTCTCACAGCTTTCTTCCTAGAGATCAAACAGCACACAGAGGGTGAGGGGTTACCTCACGGCAATGGCCCTCATGGGGGGCAGCAGAGTGGGAGGTGCTGATCTCCTCTCTCTGGTGAGCATCGAGAGGACACGAGGAAATGGAATGGAGCTGCGCCAGGGGAAGTTCAGGTTGGACATCAGGAAAAAGTTCTTCACTGAGAGGGTGGTCGGTCCCTGGAGGAGACTCCCCAGGGAAGTGGTCATGGCACCAAGTCTGTCAGAGTTCGAGAAGAGTCTGCATGATGCTCATGTGGTTTAGTTTTAAGTGGTCCTGTGAGGAGCAGGCAGTTGGACTTGATGATCCTTATGGGTCCCTTCCAACTTGAGATATCCCGTGAACATGTATAGTTCACTTGAACCCAACAAAATTTCTCTCTTGGCTACTTCTCCAAGAATTAGTATGAGTTCATTATCACACTGTTTAGGTGCCATAGTTCAAGAAAATCTGGACAACCTGCACAACTTAAAAAATCTAGGAGTTGCTACTAAGGATAAAAGTGGATCAATCATTGCTGTGCAAAGCTGCTTTCTCTAGACAAATCTGTATTTTCAATTAAAGCTAAAAACATTTTCCTAGTTTGGGTAATACTAAATATACAGAGAAACAAGACACTTGTGTTTAATGATTATTTCTTTAACTTTCAGAAATAAAAGATGTCACAGAACTTCTAAAGCAAGGTAGATTATGCATATCCAAGACATTAGCTGTTCCAATATGTTCAAAGTTTTCAGGTATTCAGAGGTGTCAGGCTAGCCCAGTTTCAGAGTTACATATATCAGGACAGTTAGTAAGTGCTGATGGAATACCACAGGACAAATATAATTCCAAAGTGTATAGTTACAACCGGTCTGTTCTCTAATGGCATACATATTTACACACACAGATCTCAGAAGGACAGAAAAAGGATGTGGTTTGGAAGGAAAGAAACAGCAGAATCTACTGTAGCAGTCTACAGAACCCACGTTACATTCACACCCTACATACCTACATGCACATACACACAGAGCTATATTTATATATAAACCCAAAATGACAGGAAAAATGTGCCAATGCCCTATTCTTGGCTCTGAAGGACAAAATCATAACAGGTTTCCCTCTTCCATCAACCGCAACTGTTCACACATCACAACACTTTTCCTGTTGTGCTTCCACCAATTTAGGAACCGAGCCTGTCTCCAAACAGCCAACACGTTGCATTGAAAGATACAAATCCCACACAAATCCCTTCACCTGAGATCATTTTACCATAGTGTAACTATTCCCTAAAGTAACTCTATGGAGTGAAACACTTTTTTGCTTCCAGAAAAAGCAACATCCCAAAAGAGTGTTTCTTCTTAAACACGGAAAATTTTCAGAAAAATACCGGATGCAACATTATCTTTGTGTGAAGCTCTGAGAATTTGAATTTTAAGATTTCCCAGCCCTGAAAAGGACAGTGAGAGGTAGCAAACCTCAAACCAGACCATTCTCTTTCAAATACCTGGCAGGGATTTTATCTAAACAGGTTCTAAGCAAAAAAAAACCCACAAAAAAAAAAAAAAACCACAAACAAAACTTAAGGAAAATTGAAGTCACTTCTCTCAAATAATCAGACACCTAGTCTTTCACCAGTCTTTAGACCAAAGCACTTTGCAAGGTGCCAGGAGAAGACTAGCACAGCAGCTCCACAAACTACAAAATGCAGCCTGGAGGTTTAGTGCTGGAGGGAACAGAGCTTGAGGAAGGGATGGAGATGGGGCTGTTCAGAGGCCACTCCTGCCAGGAGAGAGGCAGAGCCCAGGGGAAGGCAAGGGCTTGCCCACTGCAGTGAGGCAGCAGCATCCCACACTGGCTCAGCCCAGCGGCTCTTCCAGGCTCTGCAGTCCCTTAGGTGTCTGCCCAGAAGTTGTGCCACCCCTGTTCCTTGCAAATCACCTCCCAAGAGACAGTATGTACCATACAAGACAAGAAAAACGCTTCAAAGCCACTAGAGATGTCTTCTGCTCCCTCACTCATTTCATGGCAAAACCGGGGGGGTGGGGTGGAAACAAATAAATAATAAATCCACTAAAAATCTTCCAGGTGCTCTTTTCCTCAGAGAAGTGGACATCACCCCATTTTTTTAGTATTTGTAGCAGCTTCTATTTTACCAGCTTGGTACTAACAGAAGCACATTTCTTCCATCTCAGCCACCAATAAGAAAGGTCAAAACCAGTTTTCACTGTATATTTAAAGAAAGAGTAGCTAACAATTTCTGGAAAAAAATTAATTGCATCTACATCTAGCTTTCAAAACAGATACAGCTAAAGTAAGCTGCTGTGGTGTCTGAAGCACAGGAAGAAAAGAAGATACCACTTCCTTTATCAAATGAGTCAGCACACAACCAGTTTGGGTTTTTGTTTTGGGTTTTTTTAATATTTTTTTTTTTACAAGAGACATCTTGAGAGCTGGATGACATCTCCTTCACTATTAAGGGCTGACCCATCTGCCCACTTGACTAGTTACGAAGAAACCAACTAAAAAAGCAACACACATAGCAGGGTATTGAAACAGAGAAGCGAGGGCAGGACCAAGCAAGCAATGGACCTGAAGACGGGAACTTACCAATGCACAGCCATCCTTCAGTCCCAAAACTGACAACATGGGAAGTGTTGTATTTCACTTAAAACATGAAGCACCTTCTCCTCTACTCTCAGGTATGATACGGTGAACTACCACAATACTTTTGGTATTGTTAACACAGCTGTTCCTTAGATGAAAAATTGTATCTGGCTATGGACTATGCTTTAATAAATGACAATACATATCCAACCAAAACATTAAAAGAATTCTTCTAGAAATCAAACCATTTCTGGAAGCAAAAACAATTTTGCCTTTTAGGTTTTACTTTTTTGTTGTATTTGATCTGTTTGAAAAGTCTTTCATTGGAATTAACGCAGGCAACAGCAAAAACATCTGTGTCTATAAGTAGGCAGCTTCTCAGTACCTGAAGTACCCCAGTAAATTCCCAGTAAATTGCACTTTTTTCTGTTTGTTTTTTTTTAAGTACTTCAGTGGGACACAAGCACTAACAGAATGAACACTATATGACTTGAAAAGGAGAAACAGTCTTTAGTCAATTATGTTTTTAAAATATTCAAGGTAACAAAACCCAGAATATCGTGTGAGCTCATGATGCATTACTCCAGTGGACACTGAGGTACTACCTTTTTCCAGGCAGGTAAAGAGACGGAGAAAGCTAGAGGACCAATATAGTGAAATACAGCATTTTTGTAACTACACAACATAAAATATTTGATGATTTGCTGTAGGGAAGTAGCAAGATTTTGTTAAAGAGAAAACTGTTTTTCCCTTATGGCATTGAAGCTATTCAACACTTCTGAAGTTCATGAAGCGTGCTATTTAAAGTTGGACAAAAAATTAGAGCTAAAGTCTCATTCCTCTAACCAAAGGTATGCATTTTCAAGATTATTTACTGTACTTTTACAGTTGTACCTTTAACGTGTTAAGTAATCCAATACTAAACTATAAGTAAAAAACCATCAAAGGTGTATTTATTGATAAAAAATATGGTTCCGGCCTTAAAAAAAAGCGCTGCCTTTCGCAGAGCTGCTGGAAGGCATCATTCGATGGGGGCAACATCGGGACAGGCCAACGACTC